GCAACAGCGATGCTTGACTCAATGATGGTGCTTGTCATTCACAACACCGGCGCTTTTCATTCTCAGTGGTGCTGTGCACATGAAATTAACTCTTACATCAAAATATTAAAAGTTAATTTGGGGGCTAAACTAAATTTTGGGGTGCTGGGTTGATCTTTGCACTCTGGCAGCACATGCTAAAGTCTGCACTGAGAAAAGTCATTAAGTGCCCCCAACCCTTAGCAATTTTCAAGTGGTTCAAGTGGAGGGGTGTCTTGGGAACTACTGCCTTAGTTAAGTCAAACAAAAAGTTTTTAATCAGGCATTAGTGAACTTCACTTCCTGTCCTTGAGGCTGGTGGATAGCGAGAGAAAAAGAGGTAATGTGTTCATTACGAGAAATGTTGATTGTGCATTGCCACAGGTAACTGATGTTAATTTGAGTGAGGATACACATTCAGATAAGCAAGAAATAGTTTTTGTACAAATCTCATGAGTGTCAATATGCATTCCTCTTGGTTTTCTCATTTTCTTCACAACTCCCTGCCCTACCACACAAAACAAGCTAAGTACATCCAGTTAAGAGATGGTTGAAAGGTGTAAATAGAACAATGACATGTTGTGCCCCCTTTGAAGGACAGAGAACATTCAAAGGGTGCCCTAGCCTCCCACCCTTAATTGACCCATTCTCCCATTGAGCACAAGCAAGGGTTGAACTGAACCAGGACGCTGGAATTTTGGACTAGGGTTACCTGAAAGTGTACCTAGCTTTGGTACTTTTCCACAACATCATCTATAACTCTCCTTTTTGTGACACTGTAATTAGCTGTGGTGGAATGGATGGCACTGCAAAGACTGAATTACGACTTCAAGTGCAGAGTAAGCCTTAGGGCAGGTGAACTTAAAAGAAACAAAGGTGCAGTTTTCATTCAGACATCCCTCATGATAAGAAAAGGAAATGACAGATAAGAAAGAAAGAAAGAAAGAAAGAAAGAAAGAAAGAAAGAAAGAAAGAAAGGAAAAAGAAAAAGAAAACTCATGTTGGAAAGATGAGATACTCACTGGACTTCATTCTTTCATTCAAAAGTTTGAAGAAGTCTCCTAAATTGTGTGTATGTTTGCACACACTCGCACGCTACAGACACAAGAGAAATTCAAATCAGTATGCATTTAAAGCCAAATCTGTCAAATTTGCACTTATGAACTGAAACACAACCATCCTTCAAAATTTACAATTAGCCAAATCTTGCGATTCAGTTCTGCAAACCAAAGGTTTACAAAAATACATGTGTAAGGGGAAAGTATGTGCACCTAAAAATGATATAGCATACACAAATGACAATAGCATACACAAATGCATTATATTATGGGAAAGTACTTGCAAAAATGTGTACAATAGTCAACAATGCAAATATAGAAATATGTTTATTAGGAGAAAATTGCAATAAGACGCTGGTGAATTTTCATGAGAAATTTGGAGAACTCAGTTGAAGACTGGAAAAATGAGAAATGGAGAGAACCAAGATGGGCAGTCTTACATTCCTACCAACTTTGCAGGTAAGTAAGTAGGTAGAGTACCTGAGTTTTGTAGAGAAGGACTGTAGATGGGGAACAGGAGGGAAGAGCAGCTGTGCTTGCTTCCTGGCAGGTGGCTCACTGTCATTATCAGGAGGAAGAGGCAAAAGGCTAAGGTGGCAGGAAGGCTGGTGCAGTGCAAATGCAGTGGCAGGAACAAAGGACTGACTTCCCCAGTGCATCTGCACCATGCCAACCTCCCTGCTGCCTCCCCCCATCTCAGTAAGCAGCAGCAAGCCACCTACAAGTAGCATAGTCGCTCCATCCCACACAGCTCTATTTTCCTGCACCTTCCAGCACAAGCTAAGGAAACTACAATTTAAGAATTATGAGGGGTCTCTATTTGTTAAAGGGAAAGAAGGTTCTAAAATCCTCCGCAGCTACACAATCATCTGTCACCTAGCTTTTATAAATCTTGAGAAATTCTCCATTTACGCTAAGTAAGAAATCATAAGGTATTTTCACTTAAAAGCATTTCATAAGCAAATAGGCTTCTTGCAAGATGCACGTTTCCATTATATTGCTAGTTTTTGGGAAGTATGTGTCAGTATATACATAAATATAAAATGATATTATTTCCACTTTCTTTTTCTTTTCTCTTGGAATAATACACATTTGGGTGGGGAATAATGCTTTGGAGCCTCTTAAACTTTGCATTGCTTAGGGACCTCAATGTGTCTCAGTCCCATCCTGCTCACAAGGCAGCCACTGCCCTCTGCCTAATTGTAGGACCGGTCACACAAGCTACATAATGTATGGAACCTGAAGACAAGAGATCAGACTTAAATCACCAGTTGGTGATGGAGGCTCTGGAAAGTGGCAGAAGTGTGTCTGGGAAGTCCTGTTGATAAATACATGGTTACTATTCTGGAACTCAACTGTTATGAAAGTGCTGTTGTTAAGATTGGGAGCTATGGACACCTCTGTTTATACATATATCAGTTTTATACAAAGGCAAGGGGGGGTAGATTGCCCAAATGACAAAGATTGTGATAATGGGAGAGAAGTGAATTGGCATAATTGGCATAAATCTATTCAAGGACTTCTGCCAAGGTGGCAGAGAACAAAACTGGGCTCCATGATTCCGCAAGACTAATCTTTGGAAGTAATTAGTCCAGCTTGAATAAGAAGGGCAACATTAGCATAAGCATCACATAACTCCTACATTAAGCCTATCATAAAAGTTCCAAATGTTTAAATGAGTTCTTCCATTAAGGCAGTCTGGGCATTCATTCCGTCTGCGCAGGGAAAGCAAATCCATTTCTCCCCCTTCTCCCTGCATTTTCAATAAACCCTCTTGGCTACAGTTAATGTAAGAGAAACCCATCTCAAGGCAGATGAGCAATGATGAATTGCAATGTTTTGTAGCATTTTTCCAAGAGGCATCAATGAAGGTTGTTGTTGCTGGGGTGTGTGCGTGTGCGGGTGTGTGTCTGTTTTTACATACTGAAGTATGCTTTATTCATTTGAGAGAGAAATAAATTACATGAAAGCTGTATTTCTGAGTCACCAAGCTCACAATAATCACAGTACATAACTCAGTGCCAAAGCAGGATGCAACAAAGAAAACATTGACTCTTGGAGCTGGAGATCTGTGCAGCCCTAATAGATCTGTACTCTGATCTAGTTCTTTCTTGCTCTGTGCCAAGAAACACAATGCATTTCTGCATAATGGCAGATTAAATGGCACAATTAAGGTTTTAAAGATATTTTCATAAACAACCATATACATAATGATTGCAATATTTGAAGTTCTAACCTTTGATCTTTAGGGGTTGTCACTATAACCCTGCACAGGATTCAAGTCAAATCAGTCATATTCTGCAACACAGAACTATGGATCACTGCAAGTTGGGTTGAATTGGCCCAGAGTGATCCATGGCTGTCAGGGGGCAGGGCAACAGACAGGAAGGTGAAGCAGACAAGGCCTGAAAAGGGCCAAGGCATAACTGACTGGCAGGTGTCTCTACCCAAAAGAAGGTAGCCGGGTGCCTGATGCCCTGCAGGATCAATGCCTCTGCTCAACAGCTTTTGATCCTCTGAGGTATGGATGCTGCTTCTCAAGTGGCTCGAATAGAGTTGTAGTTCAGTCTGGGTTGCTAGCCACACCTCCAAGGAGAGAAACCTCTTCAGTGAAAAGGGTCCAACCTATTCCAAGAAGCATTGACTCCAGAAGCAGAAGTGAGACTGTGGCTCTGCTGGGGCATCAGAGAGCAATGTGATCTCCTCAGCCCAGACAGATACTGAAAAACAGGGCTCCAGTTCTGGGGCAGTGGAAACAACTGGGGCCAGATGGACTCAGACTCCTTGGCTCATGACAGCCCAGTCTAAAGACTAGCAGTGTCTATCCTTAGTCATATTATTACACATACTCTAGTATAGGTGCAGTTTGAATAAAACCACAACCTGGGCCTTTGGGAGTCCTGCATTTCATTCTCATAAATATAATTTAATAAGCTGCCTTTTACTGGTTGTATGCTCATGAAAAGTCCTTGCAGAAATTGTTTGTGACAATGAAAAATGAGGTGATTAAGTACCTCTTACCCTCTGTCCCCTCAAATAATACAAACAGCATATTGGAAGCTGGAACTTTTCCATGAAATAATGTTGACCTCCCCCTTTCACATCCATTATTCATTTGCAGATTAAATCCTGAAAGGTATGGAGCACCCTCTTTCAAAGAGACAATCAATGTTTCTGAAGTTCATGGTCATGAATGACTGTAAGGGTCTTTCCTTACTATTCGCGGTCGAGACATTACTATAAGTTTTTGTTTGGACCATAAATGAGCAAGTAGCCAGCAAATTAATCAATAAAAGAGAGTATATATATCTCTTAAAGTATTGCAGCAATGTCACCAAAAATTGCATCAACGTGGCTGTTGCATCATCACCAAGATTCTGGAGAAATGAGTAAGACAAGCAGAAAACTCCAGTACACTAGCATGGTAAATTATATATTGATCTAATTGTTTATAGATACGTTGGGAGTGACTGAGGAATGGCATAAAGAATATACTAAGAAATTAAATAAATTTGAGTAAATTTCCTCATAAAGTACCATTGTTCTGGGAACTATGGTGCACGTGTTGGTGCTTGTGTGTCAATTGGACATGCACAAAATATACATATACAACCTGTATATGTAAACGCTGGTTACTACTATTACTATTATGTAGGTTCCACTAAATTTAGGCACGGCAGTTGCTTACAAGGAACAGTACCTTTTTAGTTGCAGCACCTACCCTTCGGAATTCCATGCCAAGAGAAACCTGCTTGGCTCTATCCCATAATCAGACTTAAGACATAGCTCTTTAGGCGGGCTTTGGGGGAAAGCTGAATGGGGAGTGTTCCTTCTGCTCCCTTCTTAGGGTGTGTGTGTGTGATGGTTGTCCTTTGTGGGCATTGTAGCTCCCATATTCATGAGCAAAAGAGCAGAGGTACAAATGCAGCTCAGTGGTAGAACATCCGCTCTGCATGGAGAAGGATCCAGGTTCAATTCCTGGCATCTCCAGGTATTGCTGGGCATGTCTCCAGTTTGAAATCCTGGAGAGCCACTGTTGCTATTTCTGAGCTAGAAGGACCAATATTATGTCTCAACATAAGGCAACTTCCTATGTTCCTACATAACCCACTCCCAAAATCACATGCTCCTAGGACTTCCCCTGAGGTTCGTCTGTGGTGCCCAGATTTTTGCAGGAAGGAGTGTTATACATGCAAAGACCCCCCCTTCCTACAGACACATGCTTTATACACAGCAGATGCCTGGGATAGGACTATTGGAAACAATCCCACACCTTGTTCCCACTTCCACTAAGAAGTATCTCTTTCATCACCCAAATTAGTGGGGAGTAGAATGGGTCTGACATATTTTCCTTTTATACTGGATCCTTTTCAGTTTCTCCCACTTGATTTCCAAACCTAACCATTGACTTAAATTCACTAGTTGCTGAATCAGCAACACAGTAGAGAGCAATGTGTCTGGGCTCTCACAATTTTGAAATGACAGTTTCCATTTCTAAACTCATTTAATTCCCATCGGAAACTGTGATGCAAGTGAAGGTTTGCATTTCACCGTTTCCATCTCAGGTACATAAAACCTCTTTGTCTTGTGCTTCAAGTTTCATGCTCACAGCACCAGCTGGCATCAAAGAAATTCACACCAGCCATTCAACCCCCCCCCCCCCGCAAAAAGCCACACGCTTCACTTCTGTTAGCACCTCTTTAAGTTGGAAAACTGATATTTAAGGTTTTGCAGTGACAGCTGGGAGGCTTCTTTCCTTTCACTGCAACACAGGAAGTGAGAAAGTGAGCAAAAAGATGCTCTCTGATGGTACAAAAATCCATTGTTAAGTTGGTGTGTGATGCTGTTTTGCTACTTTTGCTTTTTGTCGTCTTATCTTGTAACTGCCCCCCAAATGATCCAGAGGGCGCTACAACTTGGAGCCAGTGCCACAATAATAAGGGAGTCATATATCTTCTAGATATCCATATATAAGACATGCTGAGATTCTGGCACTGGATTTGGTGCAATGCCTCACCCAGCATCTGCCAGGGAAATCCCTACATTAGTCTGTGATATTACTGAATGTCAAGTTCGCAATTTCTGCTTCAGCCCGTTTCCAAGGAACGCCTATTTATAATTAATAGAAAAGGAATAAATTCTAATTTAACTATGTAACCTAATAGGAAGACAGAAGCAGCAATAAAAAGAGAAATCCCTCTGGTTATAATTAAAAATGTTGCTGAGTGAAGGTGAGCATTATCTGCCCAATGACAAACATTAGCTGTAAGATTAAATTGCAGACATTTGTAAACAGTAACCCTTGTGTGCTGCTAATGCTTGAGTGTATGACTCTCTTCCATTGTGGGGTGCAAAGCCACTTTGATTAATGATAATGGTAAATAGGTAGGTAGACTACCTGCCTATCTTCCCATTGCATCAAAGTAAATTCTGGCCTTGTGGGGAAACCACTGCAGCTATAATCCTGAAAGCAGGCGGATTTCATATCATCAGAAGAAGCAACCATGCTTGCAAAATACACCCAATTCCTTTCCCTTTGTTTCTTTTAAAAGCAAACTTTAAAGGTGTGCTGCATGAAAAACCCTGGATGTATCTATCTACAATTTCAAACAATGAATTAGCCTTGGGAGGAGCTGCTTTGCCTGCAAATTTCACCCAATTCAGTAAGAAAATTATAGCCATTTTTAGGGGAGGGAGGGGAGGCAAAGCTTCATTTTTAACAGGTCCAATTCGGTCTGGAATAACAGGTTGATTTGGACACAGAGCAGCTCCAAAAACTGATGGGTCTACTTCCCAAAGCTACAGATCCAAGAGCATTTTTGTGGCTTTGTGCACATCCCTGCTAAGAACTGTGATTTGTAACATTGAAAACCCTGTGATGTTATCTTCTAGTCTGCTCTTCAGATTGTTTGCTGACTACTACTGGTTATGAAACTTGTCTCCATGCTGCCCAATGTAGGCATTCCACCAGACTGGCATGCCAGGCCTCAGCTACCATCAGGATCTGGGCCAGCAAAACCAAGGAGCACTGGCTATCAGTCCAAAAGAGCCAGGAGCTAGTACATGGTCCAAACCAGGTTGGAACCAAGATCCTGAGCAGAAGTCAGGAGTTTAAGCAGTGACCTTAGAGCATTTGCACTGAGGAGCAAGCAAGCCCTGAGATTAGGGCTTTATAGGGACTGGTATACTGACTGTTGGGTGCAGCTGAAAATGCTGCCTGGAGGGTGTCCTTGAATCAAAGGGTTTGCAATGGCGCCTGAGTGTTGGTTGCAGAGATGGTAGGGTGCAGGAGTCCTACTGCTGAGAATGCATCCTGGTTTGAGATCTCCTGCCACCATTGCCTTACACAATCCCATCTTGTACTTCAGCTTGACCCAGATTTCTTTGGGCTTCATATGTGCTGGATCTCTCACTGTGCATGGGAAATCTGATCTTTGCGGTGACCATGGCTTGGTACTGATGTCCTTCTAACCTGTTGAATTATAATGCAGGCTCAATGGGGTAATGGTGCTTTATTGCCAAATGCAGATCTGATGTCAAAGCTCTAAAATGAATCGTTGTTGTTGTTGTATGTGTATTCACTGTGTGCGACTTTTTTGGAAAGGAAACTTTCATCTGAAATATCAAAGTAATAACTTTGCCTTAGATTTCACTGTGCTATTGTGAGGCCTCTTGTATCACCCTATATTGCTTTCTTATAATTTTGTGGGGGAAGACAAAAGATTATGATGGGTAAAGACCTCAGTGCTTCCTAAATAAAAAGCAACGCTATACATTATGGGTTGCTTTAGAAAAGTCTAGATTTTCTAAAAAGCCCACTATTTCCTCTTTATAATTTGACCAATTTTTCAAAGTCATTTTTGTAGCTTTCATTGCTCTAAGATTTCCAACAATTGGTCAAGATAGACTCAAATTATCCCTTGCCTTTTTAAAAATAAAAGCAATATTTAGTTGCAATTGGAAATATGGATGCCTCCATTCTCTATGTACTGACTAAAACAACCAGGGAAAGAAGTGGGATAATTTTAGGTCCACCTGGAATAGAAGAAGAAGAAGAGGAGTTTGGCTTTATCACTACCCAAAGGAGTCTCAAAGCAGCTAACATTCTCCTTTACCTTCCTTCCCCACAACAAACACTCTGTGAGGTGAGTGGGGCTGAGAGACTTCAAAGTGTGACTAGCCCAAGGTCACCCAGCAGCTGCATGTGGAGGAGCGGAGACACGAACCCGGTTCACCAGATTATGAGTCTACTGCTCTTAACCACTACACCACACTAGCACCCCACCCCACAGGGGTGGGGAACTTTAGACCTGGGTGCTGAATTAGACCTGGGTGCCTCTGGCTCCTCCTACCACTGGCATACAGCCCTTTGAAGGCTACCCATAAAAGAATGTGTCTCTTGGGCTGAAACAGATTCCCCAGCTGTGATTTAAAGGATGTTTCTCTCCATGAAGTCACTTATGGTGGTATGCATGGGAATGTCAGGAAATTTCTGATTCGGGCAATGACAATCATTCCTGCATTGCAGGGGTTGGACTAGAATGACCCTTTGGACCCCTTCCAGGCTCTACAATTCCACGATTCTATTATTCTAACACCTATTTAGCTTCTGTATGGTTGCTTTATTCTGTGCCTTTGGATTGCCACTTGTTGCCAGACTCCAACTCCTATCAGCCTCAGGCAGCATGTCAGTGTTCAGGGATGTTACAAGTTGAACCTGAGCAACATCTGGAGGGCCACAGGTCACCCCCCCATCTGTGCTTTATATCACAGTTTCTGGGATTTATTCCCTGTTGATGCTCTGTGCTGTTTGTGACAGAACATATTGTTGCTCCCACAAATATCAAAGCCTTTGGTGTTGATGGCTCCACTGAGAATTCCTAGAAGTATGGAACACCTGTAGTTTATTCTGCTTCATTCATTAGTCACTGATATAGCACAAAAAAAGCAACAACAACACACAGTTCAAGGCATGTGTAAAAGAGGGATTAGACTTGAATCTAAACTGTACATTCAAGTACAAATTGTATATCCTAGCCACTTGTTTATTGCATCACAAAAACCAGCATATTGAGGGGAGAGAATTTCAAGAACATTTAAGTTAGGTGTCTCTATTCAGCTGGCAGAGCAGACTGCTACTTTAAGATTTGAATCTAAAAGTACAGCTGATAATGTAATCTACAGATCATTGCCCTTGAAACGGACTAATTCTTGGGATTCTGAAGTACATGCATGCCAATCAAAGCAGTTCACAGTAAGTATCATCTAATCTCCTGCAATGCTGTGGACTTTGGTAAATGAATGAGTTTGTGGATGTAATCCTTAGGCAAATGTCAAATTGGCAGTGTTAGTGGCCAGAGTCCTGTTCTTTTCCTGAATGGGTGGAACAACTACATCATCAGTTCACCAATTAGCAATTACTGTGGTTTTTTCCTTTGTTATTGTTGAATTCTAAATAAAGTATTATTCTCAAAAATAATAATAATAAAAATACATCATCAGTTCACCATGTCTAATGGTATCAGTGGCATCAACTACATACCCTCCAACATTTTTCCAATGAAAATAGAGAAGTCCCCTCCAATATTTCTCCAATGAAAGCAGGTGCAAATTTTCTCGAAAAAAAGAGGTACCAGAACTCACATTGCCTTATAATGGCAATGGTGCCCACGTGAGAGGTGCCAGAACTGAGTTCCAGTGAGTTCCAGAATGCTTAGCAGGAAGCCTTTACTGGTATCACAGCACTTTAAATGTATGGGTATGCCAAAATCCCCAACAGTTATCTTGCAAGGCAGCCTTTCCAAGCCTGGGGTCCTCCAGATATTTTGAATAATATCTCCCGTCAGTCCTTGTCAGCATAGCGAATGATCAGGGATGATGGGAGTTGTAGTCCAAAATAGCTGGAGGGCACCAGGTTGGGGAAGTCTGTTATAAGGTAAAGTGTTCTTTGTAGAGCAGTCATCTTTGCGGATGTGAAATGTTCATTTGCA